GTGTGTGTGTGTGTGTGTGTGTGTGTGTGTGTATGTGTGTATGTGTGTATGTGTGTATGTATGTACGTGGTAAAAATAAACCAATGTGCCAAGATCTGGACAATAGATATGTATCATATCTTATCTTATCTTATCTACCTTCATGTCTGCTAGGCTGAGCCCTGGCTTGCTCCTTCTGTCAGTGTTGAGCGCCTTTGCCTTTTCCTCTGTCGTTTTCCTCTCCCGGCTTGTCTTCTTCCGCCTCCATCATCACCTGGAGAAAGTCGTGCCTCTTCGAACCCGCCCCAGAGCCCTCGTGCTTCCTCTCCTGAATGACCACGTCGACGAAGTGAGAGAAAAAGTCCAGAGACACCCGAGGCATGCTCGCTATTCCGAGAAACTTCAGGACAGGCTGGAGGAAATCTAAGAACGTCGTTATCAAAAGCAATAACCCTACACTGTCCATGATTCTCTTGCTTTCTGTAAAGAACTGGTTCTCCGGGTCCTCGAGAGAGTTGGTGTGCACGCCGAAGCCCGTGCTGGCAATGACGTCCATGGTGAAGAGAGACAGGACCTCCTTCAGCTCCACCGGCTCGTTTCTCTCCTGTTTCTTCTTCAAGTGATCCAACAGACGTCTGGTGTTGCTCTCGATGTGTCTGTACATCCGCCTTAGCCGGACCGTGTTGAACGTTGGGCTGATGGTGGTGCAGATGTTTTTCCAATGTTCATCTGGGGAGGGGGGGAGGGCTCTCGTGGCCTAGAGGTTAAGGTGTTGGCCTCTCATTCAAAGGTCCCGGGTTCGAATCCGGGTAGCGACCAAAAAATTTTCTTCACTGAAATTGTCTCCTTTCACCTCCTTTCCTGCTCTCTAGCAATGTTCTGTTGTCTGCTTTCATTTCCACATTCTGCCCCCTCCCCCTCACCTCCTTTGCCCCCTCCTCTGGGCTCCTTACTCTTTCTGCAGCCTTTCTACTGTTACTCCTTGGCTCCTCTTTACTGCAGCCTTTCAACTGCTACTCTTTGGCTCCTTCTTAATTACTGCTATCTTTCAGCCACACCCCTGATCTTCTGGTAGGAAAGATCTACACTTTGCCATCTCGGACAAGGGCGAAAATCTCGGAGGGCCCGTGTGCAAGTATCGCACTTTTAAGATCCATTTGTGGATCAAAAATCGACAAGAGTAGGCTTCGGTACCCACCCGGGCAAAATTCAAAATTTCCCACCAACTGAAAATGTTTGATGTGTCCCGCGCGCTATTATGACCTTATGCTGTTGCGAAGCGCCGTAAAGCACTTACCAAAAAAAAACCCCAAAAAACCCACACTGGTCACACATGACTGCGAGGACTGACCTGGACTGAATGACCACGGCTCGGCCAGTTGGCGACAATTTATTGTTAATTATTTGCCCCAGGCCCGTAGCAAGGATCCTAATATAATGTGTTGCATCGTGGAAGAAGAAGAAGAATTTAAAAAAAATTATGAAGAAGAAGAAGAAGAAGAAGAAGAAGAAGAAGAAGAAGAAGAAGAAGAAGA